CCATTCCGAGGACGGTCCCAGGGTCCCACGTGGCTTGGATCCGGTGGTCCCAACCATCCAGTTCTCACTTGATATAGGTCCAGAGCGGCATGAGATTTGACAGTCACATGCTGCCATGCTTTTTGGTGGAACACGATCCCATCGCCACGATCCCATGCTGTCTTCAGAGAGGTTTTGCATAGCTTTTGATTAGTTTTTTCAGGAACATGGATCCTCTAAAATTGGTCTCGCTCTTTCAGAGGTGGACATCATGTGGAGCTTTCAGAGCAGCAGTTCCTCCAGAAGTGGGGTGTGGCGGAGAACCCCATGGTCCTGGACTGTCCGACCGGCGGCGCCGACTACGACGTGGAGCAGTGGAGTGCAGCAGTGGGCTAGTTGTAGTCAACTTGGAGCGTAGCAACAATCCAAGGTGGGGCAAGATCATAAATCTGAGATCATTTGAGATATTCTATGACATCATCTTTTGACCAAAGTACTGTTGAAGGAAGACATGTGAAGTACACCATCCGCCCAAGAGAACAGTGCGTATACCAAACGAGGCCTCAACATGTTTGCGTTTCTAGAGGAATGGTTTGCATTCCCAGGCCACAGATGGCCGCAGATGGTGCTCTTCCACCACCCCAAAACCATCTTCTGCCCAGGACTCAGGCAGAACACCCTCCGTTCTTCATCCTAGCCCTTCCAACCCAAAACCGAAGCTCCCCCAGACCCTTTTTCCGTCACCGGGCGGATCGAGACCGCTGTAGGAGACCTTGAACGCCCTGACACCGGAGATTCGCAGCAGGGTCTTCCGCGATTTCGAGCCGGCGCCACAGACCATGGACGTCCCTTGGTGGTGGAATGGGACAACTGGTGGGATGGATTGAGGTTGGGTGGTTTGGTGGCACCTTGGTGGGTGGTCGAAGTGGACGGATTTGACCCACATGGGGGGGTCAAAGCGAACGAGATGGACTGTTCGGATGAAAAACAGTCGCCGTCACGATCTCTTCGGTGAACGGAGGCTATCAGGAACCAAAAATGTTGGATTTCGTGCGGGTTTCGTGACAAACTCGCATAACATCTCTGTATAAATCCATTCTTTAAACACATATTATCATTTTGGTCAAGTCATGTATATACAATCTGCTGGGACATCTCTTCCCCAAGCCCAGGTCTCTCTTGCCGCGACCTGTATGTCCCACCTCTCCCGGTTGGAACGTCCGTCTCCCGGTCCGAGGTGGCGGGCAAGCTCTGCAGCTTCGCGAAGTCGGTGGCGCGCGGCAAGGGCGGCGGCAAGGCGCGGTGGGTGCGCGGAGAGGTGGTGAAAGGTGGAGACGGTCTGCAGGGGTCTGGGGGTCGTTCTGTTCGACGGTCTGGAGTACAAAGGCACGGTTCAAAGTATTTGTTTGTTTGGAAGAGAATCTTTTGGCTTTTGAAGGCTTTTGAAGGCTTTTTCACGAAAGGTAGCTTGAGCTACCTGAGTTCTCCTTGCTTTAGCAAAAATGTATTATACAATCAGGAGTTGGGATTGTGCATTGAGTTTGGTCCTGTAAGAGTTGATTCTGTTCGTCGGGGGGTGGGCCCCCCCCCCCGCCTCCCTGGATCAAATCCCCCCTGCGCCGGGTCACGCCGTCATGGACTTCTACCAGGGTTACTTGTGATTGCCTGCTACCTTTCGTTCACCCCCTCCTCTCTCAAGTGTATACTGTGCTGTAGTTGCTCTGACTCTGACCGATGGAAGAACCATCCACAGACTCTGAGTTTGGGGGAGAATCTGATTACTGTAAGTTGTTGCCTTTCTTGAAGTTTTGGTGCCTGTCAAAAGACTCCTCGTCATCATCGACGCAAAGAGGTAGATGTTTCACCTTCATGGTCAGTACCTTGTACGCATGTTGCCAACTATTGCCATATAATTTTACATTGATCCGAATTAGTATTGTTCTGTCCCAGTAGCATGTTCAGTTCATGTCCATGTGACCTTTAATATTCATACCCGACGAGCAAGCATGGAACCTGATTCAAGCTGAAAGCTTGAGAGACCGGCAGCACGGTTTGGACAACGGTCCTTTGGGCGCGGCGTTCCGGCTCGCACGGATGCAGGGCTTTGGAGCCTTTGGCATGGGGATGCCTGGCATGGGCATGAGACTCGTCTGTTCAGCTGCTGCGTATTCCGCTTCCGTTGTTCGATTGCACCCATAATAAGAGACCCCTGCAGAGACTATCAAGGTGACAGATCAACGGTGTCTTCTGAAGGCCTGCAGAGACAATCCAGGTCCCAGAAGATCAACGGTGTCTTGGGAAGGTTGCATGCAAGTTTTAACATAGGTGAACCAACACTGCCTGGATTTAAACCCATACTCAACTCTAAGTTAACTTCAAGCAGGTCTTCGAACAAGCAATACACCAGATGTTCACTTGTTCACAGACACTTGTGTGGACGTTATTCATGGGATATTTTCATAGGTTACCATATCACCATGACTATGATAACTTAGATCATCAAAGGTGACTAAATAATAAATATATATATGGACATTTCGGGGCCCCAGCAGAAAAGGAACTCTAACATTTGCTCATCTAGCGTCTGCTGCAAAGAAATAATCATTGAAAATAAACCATTGATGATTCCCTTTCATTTTCCGTTTTAAACTGAGCCATTCCTTTTACTTCTCCTTTAAACATTGTCATTTTTCATTTTTAAAACAAACAATAATCATGTTTTAAAGGGAACATGAAAGGAATTAATCATGTTTAAGATAAAAATGAAAGGTGTGAATGGACTATGTGGACTATGTCACTATGTGACATGAAGCATCAGCACAGATGATCGAACTGGCATGAAAGAGTCATAGACTGGCCTTTGACCTTCGAACTTTGGACCGGACACCCCCCGTCACGCCCGGATGCACCTTCTTCCCCACGGGTCTCCAGGAAGCGTCCCGGCTCTGAACTGGACCCCTTTGTCCCGCGGCCGCGCTGGTGATGAGACGATCGTGGCGGAAAAAAACGATGGACCGTGGACGTGGGCGCCGTAGGGCGCCGTGGACCAACGCGTGGCACGGTTTTGGAAGGACGGGTGGGGCAGGGAATGTGTGTCCTTCAGTTCCGAACAGCTCACTCAAGATGGCTACGCTTAGTTGATCGGGTTTTTATAAATGACGCCAGTTCAGAGCCAATGGACACAAGATCCTGCAGAACTTTCGCAACTGATTGCTGTTTTTTCCCGATCATGTTATACTGTAGTTGTTGCTGAAGGGAGGGTTCCTCCACGATTGGAGAACGAATAAGGATACATTACAGACGAAAACAAGCAGCATCACTGGGTTCCACTTTTTCCGCCGTGATGATCCGTGATGGGCTGGATATTTTTTAACCCACTGACATTTTTTTCTAACCCTGACCTTTATTTTTACCCCATAGTCGCTATTCTAACCCCGGGTCAGAAAAATGTGTAGCGTAACCAAGACTCTATTAAATGAACCCGTTGGGATTCTTGTTTTCAAACCCGTAAATCATGTTTCTTTAACCCTCCAACCTACTTTTTCAACCTCGTTGCCTTCTACTACTCCCGCTGCTGCTACTGCTACTGCTACTGCTACTGCTACTCCTACTAACCTACTACTACTACTACTACCACTACCACTACCACTACCACTACCACTACCACTACCACTACCACTACCACTACTACTACTACTCCTGCTACTACTACTACTACTACTACTACTACTACTTATACAACTGATACTATTACTAGTGCTACTGCTACTACTCGTGCTAGTACTAGTACTACCACTACTTACTGACCTGCCTGATCCTGCCTGTTTGTGCGTTCCTGGATATGCCTGGCATTGCCCCACGTATTTGTGAAGGCCTTGGCAATGATACATATTGCATCAGAATGATGAAGATGGCGAAGATGCAGACCGATTCTTCAACTGGTGGCGTGTGGGATTGCCTCAGCCTTAGAGTTGAACATTCAACTGGTGGTGCTGCAACTAGCTTCCTTAGAAGTCATTTCACCTGTCGCCCTAAGAAGCTTGAAGAAACTACTCTATTTTAACCCGGGGTTAAAATAGAATAGTCTAGGGTTAGAAAAGAAGGTTGCAGGGTTAAAAAAAAGGTTTCTAGGGTTAGAAAAGAAGGTTCCAGGGTTTAAAAAAAGGTGAGGGTTAGAAAAAATTGTTTCAGGGCTAAAAAAAAGGTTGCCCATCCGTGATGATCTTTCGTTTGGCACCTACAGTGCCTTCCAGTGCAGTTTCTGGGCTCCAGTCATTCCAATCGCCTCATCTGTGATGGCCAGAGGACCCTCCAGATGACCAGAGGAACGTGACTTTGTACAGGTCCATGGTCCAGCTTTGCTTTGTTGCCAAACACACAAAGCACTCCACACGTCTATTGCTTAGACATGAGACATACCCAAAGAAGACATTCCACGATATTCCAAGCTGAGCTTCTCTGATTTGGGGCCCTCTTGATACAGGTCGGACGTCCTTTTGTCGCTTGGACACCGGTGCACCTGGGCGATCCTTTGAGCGATTCCATTGGCGCCTTCTTGGCTCCAGCGTTTCACGGAATTTTGGAGCTTTCCGGAGTCCAGGTGACGAGACGAGATCGTTTTGGGGCGCAAAGGACGCTGCTCTAGCGAAGTGGTCCTGACAAACCAGCAGCAAGACCAAATTTTTGAAAGGACCGAGATAGAAGGTTGGCAGAAAGCAACTTGCGGCCTGGGGAGGTTCCGTGATTCTTCCACTGTGGACATTGCAAGTTCGTATACCCATCTCACACAGAAAGACCGGATCTTAAGACCCCCAAAAGGAACAAGATTTCCATTCACTTGTCGACCAACAAGGTCTCTGGTGGCTTCGCAATGCTGAACCATGTTTGCTATCTTCTTGGCCTCGCCTGCCCAGCTTGAATTCCATCTACCGCCACACACCCGTCGCATTTGAATTCCATTCCTCCTTTTATTCGCACTTTTCTGGTAGCGCCGCACGGCCGGCCGTGCGGGCGTGGGGGCGATGGTGACGGTGAATGCAGACCCCTACGGACTCCCACAGGGAGCGACCACGACGAGCCTTGGTGAAGTTCGGGTGTGTAGTGTGTGGTGCGTAGGTCTGCACAACAGTTATAGACATTTTTTGTGTTTAAATGTTGCATGGACCTCAAATAGAGGCGCTCTAATTGAGATCTTCCAAAATGATATGAGTAAAGCAATGCTAGCTGCAACTGCTAGTAGCGGAGATGGGATTTAAGGCATATTACATATGGGACTTGGTGCAAAAAAGACTCTTTAGTTTCAGGACGTAGCTTTAAAGTTTAGCCCAGAGATAGTCACTTAACAGCCTGACACCTATACTATACAAGGAAGATAAGGAAGCAGTTTTTGTAGCTCAAGGCTCCAGGTATGAGAGTTACGCTCCCTGAAATCATCATTCCCCAAACAGTTTACTGTTAGGGGTTCTCAATTCTTTCTTAAGATGTGTCCGCCCTTTGTGTCACTGCCGCTGTCCGCCCTGTTCCGCTGGCCATGTAGCAATTGTCTCCCAGGTCTGTCACTGCTGGTGCCCGCCCTTTTCCGCTGGCCATGCAACATGTCCGCCCTTTTCCGCTGGCCATGGAGCATTTCTATTCATTCATTTGTTTCCCAGGTCTGTCACTGCTGGTGTCCGCCCTTTTCCGTTGGCCATGTAGCATTTCTATTCATTTGTCTCGCAGCTGGTGTCCGCCCTCTTCCGTTGGCCATTTAACATTTCAATTCATTTGTTTCCCAGGTCTGTCACTGCTGGTGTCCGCCCTTTTCCGTTGGCCATGTAGCATTTCTATTCATTTGTCTCGCAGCTGGTGTCCGCCCTCTTCCGCTGGCCATGTAGCATTTCTATTCATTTGTCTCCCAGGTCTGTCACTGCTGGTGTCCGCCCCTTTCCGCTGGCCATGTTGCATTTCTATTCATTTGTCTCCCAGGTCTGTCACTGCTGGTGTCCGCCCTTTTCCGCTGGCCATGTACCATTTCTACTCGTTTGTCTCCCAGGTCTGTCGCTGCTGGTGTCCGCTCTTTGACGTTGGCCATGTAGCATTTCTATTCATTTGTCTCACTGCTGGTGTCCGCCCTTCTCCGCTGGCGATGCAACATTTCTATTCATTCCCGAAACAGTTTACTGTTAGGGGTTCTCAATTCTTCTTTATGATGTGTCCGCCCTTTCTGTCACTGCTGGCCCTTTTCCGCATTTGCTTGTTTTTTGTTCTGTCTCCCTTTGTCTCCGGTCTTGTCTCCCTTCTTGTTGGTCACTGTATCTGCCTTGTCTCCCTTCTGCTTCCTTTTGTCTCCCTTCTTGTTGGTCACGGTGTGCGCCTTGTCTCCCTTCTGTCTCCCTTTGTCTCCGGTCTTGTCTCCCTTTGTTGGTCATTGTGTCCGTCTTGTCTCCCTTCCGTCTCCTTTTGTTTCCCTTCTTGTCTCTCTTCTTGTTGGTCATTGTGTCCGCCTCGCACCTTCTGTCTCTCTTTGTGTCCCTTCTTGTGGGTGACTGTGTCCGCCTTGTCTCCCTTCTGTTTCCTCTTGTCTCCCTTCTTGTTGGTCATTGTCTCCATTCTTGTTGGTCACTGTGTCCGCCTTGTCTCCCTTCTGATTCCTTTTGTATCCCTTCTTGTTTCTGTTCTTGTTGGTCATTGTGTCCGTCTTGTCTCCCTTCTGTTTCCTTTTGTCGCCCTTCTTGTCCCCCTTATTCTTGGTCATTGTGCCCCTTCTTGTCTCCCTTCTGTCTCCGAGACGTCTCCCTTTGTCTCGGTCTTGTCTCCCTTTTTGGTGGTCACTGTGTCCGTCTTGTCTCCCTTCTTGTTGGTCATTGTGTCCGGTCTTGTCTACGGTCTTGTCTCCCTTCTTTTTTGTTACTGTGTCCCTTCTGGTTGGTCACTGTGTCCGTCTTGTCTCCCTTCTGTTTCCTTTTGTTTCTCTTCTTGTTGGTCATTGGGTGTTCCTTCTTTTTCCTTCTGTATCCCTTCTTGTTTCCGTTCTTGTTGGTCACTGTGTCTGTCTTGTCTCCCTTCTGTTTCCTTTTGTCTCCCGTCTTGTCTCCCTTCTTGTCTCTCTTTGTCTTCGGTATTGTCTCCCTTCTTGTTGGTCACTGTGTCCGTCTTGTCTCCCTTCTGTTTCCTTTTGTCTCCATTATTTTTTCCCTTCTTGTTGGTCACTGTGTCTGCCTTGTCTCCCTTCTGTCTCCGTTTATCTCCGGTCTTGTCTCCCTTCTTGTCCCCCTTCTTGTTGGCATGCTCCGGAGAAATCGGATGAGCATGTTCAATCCGGCTTGACCAGTCCCAGGTGGTGAGTGTTCCAGGGAGTGTGGTCTAATCTCACTGGATCACGAGAAACGGTGCTGCTGTTGCGCGTGGGGCACCTCTGGCCGATCTTGGAAGGCTCAATCTGGTCAGGTTTATGGGGCGCCAGGATGCATGGGGGGTCTATTTCATAGATCTGCTTCAGACCCTTCGCAGCTCACACGTTGGACCCATTTTTGCCTTCGTTGCATGGCGTCTTCGCTTCTTCGCACCTCCGCCAGAGCTGTGCTCGAGGACGGGGCAACTGGTCCTGGAGATCGCGGAGAAGACCGGGGACGGCGGAGCGAAGTGCTTCGACACCCTGGTCAAGGCCGGGCCACGTCGCGCCACGCAACGACGAAACGGCCAAGTCCGCGAAAGGTTCTGCCCACCGCGAGAAGGTTGGAGGTGATGTTCTATTTTCAGGATAGAATGCATGGGCATTGTGAAGCTCCAAGGATCAATGCCTTTTGGCTATTTTGTTTTCTGGAGGAGGTTGGTCACAGTTGGTCAGGCCACATGATGGCACATGTTGGTGAGGGAGTTCGGGGCACCAAAATCTCGCGAGTGAGCGAGCGTTCTTTTGTGGATTGGTCTAATCCCTACTCAACCAGAGTACTACCAAAACTTATGTCGATAGATGCAACACATCTTCTCTCATGGATTAAAGCTTTGGTGCTGAGTCGCTTTTGCCTTTGGGTTTTGGCCTTTCGAACGTGGATACATGTTTGGCATCCATTCCGAAAAACCAACAGACTTGGAAATGGAACTTCCACTTCTAATCATACATGACCTTTTTACTATGGGTTGGTGATTAATAGAGGGGATACCGGGGATACCTCAGGATACCTCCAAGTCAACAACCAATAGATGGTATAACCCCATTATTCATTCCGGAAGGACATCATTGCTTCGCTGTTCGAGAGTGGGGGGGAGAGAGAGAGAGAGAGAGAGAAGAGAGAGAGAGAGAGAGAGAGAGAAGGAGGATGAGAGTGAGAAAGAGAGGGTTGTGGGAGGGAGAGAAAGGTCAGACTCCGACGCCCACCACCAGGGGGAAGCCAAACACTTAGAATGGATGACCTTGTTTTTGGTCTATATAATGTAGAGGAATTCAACATGAACCATGGAACTCAAACATTTACCAGGGGAGGACTACTTTTTTGGGAATCGATTTTTGGATCTGCTTCTGATATCTTCTGACTGCTTTTCTTGCTTTTCCTGGCTTCTCGTTTCTTTTCTGTGGCTGCTCTCGCTTTTCTTGTTCTTTTTTTTCGGCTTTTCTGTGCTAGTCTTCGCGCAAAAAAATCCCCAAACGCAGCGCTTTTCCACTTTTACTGATGTAACTACAGAGAAACCAGGACCGCAAACAGTTTTCAGCTTGGGTTCGCTACATTATCGAAAAATTATGCTACAAGCCCTGTTGAAGCTCGTTTTGCCGGAGAACCGAAGCCGGAGGTGCCTTTCATGACTGTATCAAGAAGTAGTCCTGCTGGAAATCCCAAACATTGCCAACTTCAAGTATATGTTGTAAAACGCCAAATCTACGGTGCCGCAGAATACTCAGCGAGCATGCGCACGAGGTGGCACGAGATGTGGAATGAGGTGTTCAGCTGAGCAATAAGTGCACATATCGGACTCGACTTTCACAGCATCTTAGTAGTGCATGGGCTTGTCGCTTGTCAGGTTGTACGCGCTTTATGTCGGCGCGTGTGGCTGCTCGCAAGCGGCCAGGAACTTCTTTGCTAGGTCACCATGCACTAAGATGCACTTAGACAAAGATGCTAAGGGGACAGTGCTTCTCAGCACTTTCAGCGTCAAAGTTGCATAGCTCACCAGCAGAGTCTTTTAGGAACTGTTCTTCCCACTGCTGGAGCGAGAGCACACCACGATGGCCTTGTGTCCCTTTACACTATTGCGTGGCCATTATCATGAGTTGCTTCCATGCTTAGCAGAAGAATGTATATATGTGTGCTGCAAACATCACAGCAGCACACTGTGCTTTTAATGCCAAGAAGTTGCGCTGCAGGCGTTCTGGTTTTCCCGAGCAAAACCTTGTCTCAAAAGATTGAAGATATTCAAGGGTGTAGCCAGGACAAATTGAGTAATTTTGATTACACAGAAGTGCGTCGTGTTTCTTACTCATTCGATGTTTATTGTATCAGCTTTATCTCTAGTGTTCCCAGTTTGGCCACCCGTGACCCACTTCCATGCTCCCGTTGACTCCCGTGGCCTTGGTTCTATGTTAAATGCCAGGAGTGCAATAGCTGGTGGTGATTTGCGTGTTTTTGTTCTCACAGACTTCTGCAACAAAGCCCAGTGTTTTCGGGGCGGGCCAGAGTGTACACATTTTTGCGGTGTCCAAATGCTGGAAGAGTGTGCTTGGCTGCAGGCGGTGTCCAATGTCTTGGAAAAACCCCACGAGTGGGGACTCCAAGTCGATCGAACAGTCGTCGGTAAAGCTGCCGGCTGTCGGGAACTTGGATAGATCGATGGGAGGGACGGGCGAGATAATCGATGGATGTGATAAGGTCTCTTTTGACTGACCCAGCTTCTAGATGGATCTAACCTGATTATATTCTCAAGTCTTTATATATTTTGACACGATGCTGTGGTGATGCGCACCAGTTTGCCTTTCTGAGGCTCTGGTTTTTTTCCCCTAGCTCTTGTGGTGTTTCTCTTGGTTTGGCTTTCAGAAGCGCGGTTTGTTTTTTCCCCCTACCCTTCAGAAGCGCGGTTTGGCTTTCAGAAGATGAGGGAATCCATCCCTCAATATCCCTCCAACCCTGCTAGTTCAAGAGTCCCAAAAAACTCCTCAGCGGAGTTTTCGGGAACCGAGATGGAAAACCTCCTCAACTTCCATGTGGCGGCATGGCCGGTTCAGCGCTGACTGTGGCCTTATAACCACATCGAACCAGTAAAACCAGTTGGAATCTCCAAGTAAGATAGAAACGATCTGAAACGCATGTTTTAGGTGGGATTGGGTCTATTTCAGGATTTGAGAGGCTCAAACAAACGGCACTTCTTCTCACAACACCGTGGCCCCAATACGGTGCTGAGGTTCAAGTACAGGGAGCTCCGGAGAGGTAGCCAGGGCCTGGACCAGGCGAGGGTAAAGGGTGAAGGCGTCCGTTGCACCGCAGAGAATTTCACGTTGCGAAACACGCTGTGTGACACGGTGAAAAAAGCTCCTGGACAAACAGGAGAAGTTCCATGATGTACCACAGAAACCACGTGCAAAACAAATGATATCGTGATTTATAACATGAATACTTCTCCTCTGTAGTGGCTTGCAAAGAACATGGAATTTGTTTCATGGTGGCGATGCAACTTGGTCAATCTCGCTGATGACCGAGGGCGCCATCATGGGGCCGGTTGGTTTTCAGGAGCGTTCCACGGGACGAACGGGAGTTGACGGATGGACAGCATAGCATGGGGACGAACGGTTCTAGCGCAACGATTGCTACGTCTGTCCTGACACCCATATGGATAGTTCATCCCCCATGATTGGTCCTCTATAAAATGAGCATCTGTTTCCACTATGAAATGGGATAAGGAGGTTCACTTTATAGAAATGGTCCGTTCCGATAACGGACATAAGAGGAGGCAACATCATTTCATAGAGTAGAGGGGGAAAGGACCATGACAGAGAGAGGCAATGCATTTTATAAAAGAGACACGTGTCGGCAGATGAATGCCTCTCATTCAGGAGCAAATCCATTTTATAGAGAACATATGGTTTTACACAGATGTCTTAGAAAAAATGCTCAACACAGTTGCCTGCTTTGAGTGATATTGTTTCGCTGGCTCGAAGGCGCAAGCCTGGACAAATCAGACTGGATAACATTTTGTTATATTTTGTTAAGAAAAAAATTATTTAAAAAAAACAAAAACTATGGATGTTTCTAAGAAGAAGACTGCAGGAGCGACGAACAAAAAGGACAGAGATAAAACATGAAAAGTGAAGCATAACGCTGACCAAACCTGCTGTGGCAAAGTCATTTTATAGAAGTCAGCTGCTTCAAATGATATGAGGATATCAACTCAAGGTCAACCCATTTTATAGATCCCAGGCTTGGCCTCTAACCTCTTTGTCGTGGATGGGCCTGGACATGGCTACCCATTTTATAGAAAGGTTGGTTCTTCATTTTATAGAGACATATGATGGTCATATCATTTTATAGACGGTATTCTCTATAAGATGGAGTTCTGGCAGGATGTTGCCCCAGTCAAGGGGTATGATAGTTCTAATCTACCAGCACCTTCATGTCGGGGTCACCTGGCTGGAAGTTCCAGAAAAGCCCCAGCCCACTACTACTAAGGGACCTCCAGACAGGACACCCCGAAAAAGAAGGTCCGACTGGGCTGGCCCTGACCGGGACTGGTCGGACCGGGACTGGGTTGGTGGAAGAAAAACGATGGAAGACACACGTCGGCGAGGCGATGTAGTGTCTTCATGTCTTTTTTTGGCAGGTTGAGAGCTTGGATAGAGATGATGCCAAGAATGCAGCATGCTCATGTAGTGCCTCCGAGCACACAATGGATTTGTCTTTGCGGCTTCAATGGCCTTCTGGGCACCTTCCAAGGAACAACTTAACATTGTTCAGTTACATGGACCGGAAAGCTACGGTCTTTCTAATTTTTTCATTCAGCATCTGAGACATGTTATTTTCTTGGTGACTGAGGATTAGCACTTTGCCCAGAAGCATGCTGAGGTTCTGTTCCTTACGGACCCAGAACGAAGCCGTCTCCAGGCTTTGCAGCTGAGGGTTCCTTACATGAATCGGACAGGGCCTCCTCCGACGACCGCCGAACCGACTCTCGCCGACGGTTTTCGTCGTCGTCGCCAGGTCGACGCGCAGCCGGCGGCTTCGATGCTTCTGCGACGACTGGGCTTTCAGGAGTGGCGATGGGCGCCCACAGGCTAGAGGAAATTCCCCCGGCGCCATTGCACCTGAGCCACCTGAGTTTTCATCGATGCATGGGCTCATACCCTGGCCAGTCCATACCCCATCCATACCGCCGGGCGAGGTGTGACCGGTGCGGGTGCCGAAGGCGGACCTTTGGTTGCCAGCCTTGTCGAGGGTTGCACGTCCTGCAACCTAAGCATCATCCACTAGGCCCTGGTTTACTGGGAAAAAAACAGGCAATCACAGGCAGAGAATTGGTGATTCAGCTTTTATGAACCACTTTGCCCACCCGGCACCCCCAAAAGTGTGAGTCAACCCACGTCGTACGTGGAAAAACACTGTGTTCGGGACCCCCCAAAGGACGGTTGACATTTTCATGAACACCCCCCAGCCCTGGAGATCTGACACCGAAACGGTGAATTCTGATGAATCAACACTCTAAGTCCTTATTTAATCTTATTTATAGTGATTTATAGTGATTTTAGTGGTAGTTTCAGTATCGTGTGGTTCAACCGTTCCTTGAAATGTGTGATCTCACTGACTAATCCCTTAGTTTCAAGTGAGCTGAAACCGCACGCCAGTCATCTCGTTGACGCCTGCCTCATTTCTTCTTCCGCCCGGAGAAGTGCTGCGAAGAAGGAACGATGCGGAGCGTTTTGCGATGAACAAACGCACCGCACGGCGGCACGGCGCGCCAGCCACCACCACTGGCCACGCGGAGGACTGTGGCAACTGCTACCGGCTGCAGCCCTCGGGCGTCCGAGGAAGCGAGGTGGGCGGGTTGAGAATGTCTGCGAAAGAAACACTTCCTGCGGTCGAATGTGTGCGCGTGTTTTGTGTTTTTCCCCTCTGTTGCGAGACTTCGCTGGGTGTTAACTTTCGCGAGCGAAGGGTTTGAAGGAAGGGAACATTGATAA